TCTCCGTAAGTCCATACTTAGGTACTTAGCAGTAGGTTTATATGCTTGCTTTTTTTTTTTTGCAGAACTGAGGTTTGAACTTAGGGCCTACACCTTGAACCACTCCACCTGTCCTCCCCCCTTTGTGCGATGGATTTTTTTTTCAAGATAGGGCCTCTTGAACTATTTGCCCAGGCTGGCCTTGAACCTCAATCCTCCTGATCTCTGCCTCCCAAGTAGCTAGGATTACAGCTGTGAGCTACTGGCGCCCCACTTAAATCCTCCTAAATACCAGTTTTGTTTCTCCATTTGAGGTGCTTGGCACTGTTTATTAAATAGACTATGGTAGGCGATTGAATGTGACTCAGCTTTACAGAGTTCATTCAAAGTGCAAGATCTTAACGCTTTCACTTTTGGCTGACTTAGCATGAAGCTCTGTCAGGCCACACCCTCAGTATTAATTCTTACTACATTTGACATTTGGTCAAACATTAGCTTGGTGTTTATGAGCCACTTAGTTTCTTCATTAGAATTCTGAAAATTCTTACCCAGCCCAATGGAAGGGCCTTAAAAGTTATCAGAACCCTGTACTTGACAGTCCTTTCCATGAAGACCCTTGAACACCAAATTGAGAGTGGCTCAGGGAACTGCAGATTGAACAATTAACTGTGTGAATGACAAGACTTAAAATGGCCATGGTTAAGGATCTGATGAGAGTTTGTTACAATAGTAATCCAATTGACCAGAAAATTTGGTTATTTCAGTTATGTACAACATTTTAAGATAATTACTAGAATTATTAATGATGTTATACTATTACTATTAGATTTCTATTATTTCATATCATTTCTGAAACGTATAATGACAATTTATAAATATAACGCAAAGAAATGTTAGCATTTCTTATTATTTGGCAGTGCTTCCTATTACATTTATAAAACAAACCCAATTAGTTTAATATCTCTTTTTATGAAGCGAGAAGTCCTTTTGAAATATTCCAAGGGCCCACCTGGAAAATTTCAAAATTAATTCAAGGTCAAGAAAAAGACAATTTTCATTTACCAAGTGTGGCAGCTAATGGCAGTAATCCTATCAGCTTGGGAAGTGGAGATGGGAGGGTTGCAGTTTGAAGCCAGCTCAGGCAAAAAGTTAGCAAGACCCTACTCAAAGAACAAGTCAGAGCCAAGCATTGGTGGCTCATGCCTATATTCCTAGCTACTCAGGAGGCAGAGATCAGAAGGGTCTTGATTCAAAGCCAGCTCCAGACAAATAATTCCAGAGACTCTATCTTTAAAAAAATAAAATAAAATTCACCCCAAAAACAGGCTGGTGGAGTAGCTCAAGCGGTGAGAGTGACTGCCTAGCAAGTATGAGGCCCTGAGTTCACACCTCTGCCACAAAAAAAACAAAACAACAACAAAAAAAAAACAAGTCAGGTGTAGTGGAAAAATCTATAAAATCTGTAATTCCAGCTGCACAGGAGGCTTGAGGTCTATGGCCATCCTGGGTGAAAAAAGGGCAAGACCTTGTGTGAAAAATAAGTAAAGCATAAAGGGCTGGAAGTGTGGTTTAGTGGTAGAACACTTGTCTAGCAAGTGTGGGGCCCTCACCTCAGTTCTGCCAAAAAAAAAAAAAAAAAGGCAAATACAAAAATTACTTAACTGTTGAGTTGAGTAAACTTAACTATTTTAATAGAACTCAGTTACTCAGTTTCCTTAAGTGACCAATAACTTAGTTTAATGTGAAACATAGGAAATTATATTGATGAAACCTATAAGCTTTGTTTCCCAGGCCAAGTTCCTCAAATGTAAAGAAACAGACAGGACCAAATTCTAGTTTTGCAGCATACTTTAGAAATTAACAATTATTAGAAAAACTTCTAAATAATTCCCTTCTGATCTCAGCCAGCTTGGTCACACATAAAATTCCTTTCACAAAGTTCATCTTCCACAAACTCTCTACAGTGTTCTCATCCATCCAGTTTGGTCTTAGTCTTCTTTTCATTTCAGAACAAGTTCTAGTTTAGCACAAAAATTACTCATTTTCCCTTAAGAAAACAAAATATCTTCATACCTTCTCGCTTTTCCTTACCCAAAGTACATCTTATCTTCCTTGTATAGTTGCATGTAGGGGTTCCTCCTTCTTATTTCTACTAATTTTAGTTTCATATATTAATTAGAATTTTTACCCTTTAGTGACCTTAATTTCTAGTGAACACTAGGAAACAGGCCTCTGTGAATGCCTTGCCAATGGTGTGTAGATTGGCATACCTCTGAATCATATCTTCTAGAAGCACGTGCACTCTCATTACTAGTCAATGTGGCACAGACATGTTTACTAATAGTTGTAGATATCATTAGTTTTTCTGTCATAAGAAACTGTAGAGGAGGCAACATTTATTGCTGTCCCTTTGAGTCTTGTTTTTGATAGCCATGAGGATCAAGTTATTGGTTGTATAGATTTCCCTCATCCCCAACTTTCAATACCATGAGAATAGTAAAACATTCTGATATAGGAAGAACATATTTTACATGAGAATTTTATCTTGTACCTATAAGTCACTTACTTTTTAACAATTATTCTTAGATTGCTTATATATGAGACATTAAGCATTACTCACGAAATTTATGCTTATTCCACAGACACCTTTAATTTACAACTACCCTAAGTAGGAAAAGTCATCCATATTTAATGCTGAAAACTCTGAAGCCATGCTTGTTTTAATTAAACCAATAATATTCTCAAGTTACATAAACCTGAAAAAATTTGGGTTAACTCTTTTTAGGGGGAGAGAGCTTCATTTATAAAGAATTGATTGTTCTTAAAGCAAGACCAATAAATAAATAGAAATCTTCTATAATTTAATATGGCAACATCATCAGAAAATATCATATATATATATATATATCACACATAGAGACATACATCAGCATATAAACAGAACCAGAAAACTCTGGATCTAGGGGTTGGGTGCATCTCAGTAGTAGAGTGCTGTGCAAGTTCCAGGGTTCAAGCCCCTGCACCACAAACAACAACAAAGAACCCAAACAAACATCTGGTCCAAATTCCTTTTCTGACCAATGGAACGAAATTTCCTGCATAGGTGGCTAAAGCCTTTGAATGACACTTATGAAAAAGACATTTAAGACTTTTTTTCTGTTGTCTCATCCAATGAATGTTAGAAAAAGGCAATCTTCACCATGTTAAGTAAAATAAGCCAGACACAGAAAGACAAACTTCACATATCTCTCATATGCAGACTATAGACTTTAAAAAAAGAAATGAAAGTAGAAGGGAGCGTGGAAAGAAGGAGGGGATCAGCAGGAGCGGGGAGAGGATGAGAGGGTAATGGAGATGAATATAATGAAAGTACATTATATACATGTATGAAAATGGCATAATGAAACCCCTATTTTGTACAATTAATAAACGATAAAATTTTAAAAAGAAGTCATCTTTGATTCGTTTAATCTGTTAGATGCCTCTGTGTGCCAATTAAAGACTGCATCCCATTGATTTTGTGGTGTTTAGTTTGTTTTCTGCTGTCTCCCTCAGGCCAATAATTTTGTCTAGGCGAGAACTTCCCCACTCTGGTCACGATAATATTCTGTGGTGACCTTAGTAAGGCTAACCGATTTTTTCCAAAAATACATAGGTGCTGGGGTGAATAAAGTTAGTGGGTGTCCCAGAAAGTGGATTTTTTAGATTTGGAGGAACCCATCTTCAAAAGATACCGACCTGAGGCTTCTGACTGGATGCAATCCAGTTAATTTTCAGACCCAATTTGGTTCTGGACTCAATCCAAGAAAAAACATTCAAACACAGAGAGAATAATACACAACTTTGTGGACCTCAATTCTAAGAGATAACTTGCTCATGAGCCCAGTTACTGTGTGTGAGATCCACTGGCAAAGGTCATACATTAGTTTGACCACTTGGCCCTGCTGGGGTCACTGGAGATCTAGTTCAGACACACATCTAATGGCAGTGTGTTCCGTTTAGTAAGACTTTATTTGAGCAAAGATACAATTTGTGAATTTGGCAGCACCCAGAGCCTATAAAGATTGAGAGAACTCACCCAGCAATGGGGGAAGGGAATATTTATAGGCAGAAAAAGGAAGAGATATACAGAAGTAGCATAATTAGTTACAGACATATCTGAGCACTGTGCGGCTCTGATCCACCATATATTATACGAATAATGCTTTACAGTAGTTTGTTGATGTATTACGTTAGCTTACAGCTTGTTACATATGGAGGAACCTGTAGACCAATATATTGTCTTTTGGCAAATGTGTATGTAACATTTTGTAAGGAAGCCTGACATACTGTGCAGATGGTTGGAGATTTCTTTGAAGAAAAAAAAAATGTAGATTTAAAAATGTTTAAGTTATTTATCTCCTGCATATTGTATGCATCTAGAACCCTACATGCACCAGGAATATTGCTGCTTTAACAATATAAAAATGAGAACAATTTGATAATTTATATTATTGACATGTAAATTCTCATGTTAGTGCTTATAGAATATTTCAAAATAAAGAAAATATTCAAAAGTAGATTCAATGTTGTATCTTCTAGCCTTTATTATTATTAGTAGTAGAAGTAGCAGTAGTAGTATTTTGTGGTGCTTGGGATCAAAACTTGTACTCATGCATGCTAGGCAAGCACTGTGCCACTGAGTTACATCCCTATTAACTTTTAATACTGCCTATTAACTTTAAATAATCATTTAAGTTATTATTAAATAGCAAAAAGAATAAACAAAGGTCACAATTTTTAACAAAATTTTGAAAAAGCCAGAGTTTTGAAAAGAAAAAATTGGAGTCCATAGTTCTGGTAATATTAAAATTGTTGTTGGGTATTTTTTCCTTACTTCAGGCCTTAAAGTAATTTTCTACATTGTGTTGTAATGAACTCCCCGCTTTTCTGTTGTGGATACAGATTAGGCAAAAGTTACTTTGTTTGTAAGTAAAAGCTTTTTGTCTTTTTAAATTCAGGGAATGACTATTGCCATAGTAGGCCCCACATTTCAAGATTTGGCAAGAAATGTGAACCGTAATATCAGCAGTCTTTCTGAAATATTTGTGGGTCGTGCTGTGGGGTATTTGAGTGGCTCTGTGATTAGTGGAGTTCTTTTGGACTGCATGAATCATTCTCTACTTTTGGGTAAGTAAACACTGATTTTCACTTTTCATGACAGTCAATGAGTTTACATTGGCTGTAAATATGAAAACAGTAGCCTGCACAATGGTGGACAACTGAAATGGCAGTGTTTTGGTGTCCCCCACCAAGGCTGGGTTTGCCTGCTCTCAGCTTGGCAGCTATAGGGAGTCTGGGCTGGGCCATGTGGAAACTTGGTTACCCTCGGGGTGTGTGTGTGTGTGTGTGTGTGTGTGTGTGTGTGTGTGTGTGTGTGTGTGTGTGAGCTGTCCTGAGCCTTCCCCACCTTCACTGTAATTTAGGCACCACCCTGTCCTAAGGGTCACTCACTGGTTGTCCAAAGCCCTCTGCTTTTCGGCATATAGGGCAAGTCCCCTAGGGCCACCAGAGGTCAGAAGGGGCACCTGGACCCTGGCCACGCTTGCTAGACTCTGGATTGAAAATGAAGGGGATGGGATGGTGAGGAACTGATATAGGCTACATTTTTGTCCTTGCTGCTCCATGTCAGCGACGACCCCAGACTGCTCTAGCTAAGCCTGGAAATAGATGGCAAAGCTCTTAACATGCTAAGAAAATTAGATTGATATGGCAAAACCCCTTTGGAAAGAAGGAGAATAACTTATTGCTGATAAATAAGTAAATTCCTCCTACTTCCAAAATGGACTGAAAGAATGTATATATGTATCTGTGTGTGTGTTTATACATATATATGATTTTTTTTTTTTGCTGTCCTGGATATCAAACCCACAGGGGCATGCTACCCAGATGCTGTACCACAGGACTACATCCCCACTGCAAAAATATATGTCTTGTATTTTCTTCCCAAATCCTCATACTAATTTATTTGAAGTTTTACTACAAACCATTATTTAAATTACATTTTCTTTTTGCCTTTTTAGTTTGTTACCTCATATGTAAAAGTCCCTTTTCATTCCTAAATGTGAAACAGTTAAGTAAATAATTTTGACATTTCTTTTTGCTATAAATTTTTTGTGTTATAATTTATGGTTTGATTATTAGCAGTGCTAGAATGTTCTCATGTCATAGCTATTTATATTTGGTAATCCATAAATATTATGAAAGATTTAAATGACATAGCCACTTGTAGAAACTGCAACTGTCAAGTCTCAATATTACCCACTTTTTAATTTGATCTTATTTTGTATCCTTATAAATTTTTACTTGTTGTTTGTACCCATGACCTTGAATGAATACTGTTTCTATAGCTCGATTTCTTCTCTTTCTTCTCAGGGGTGTCAATGCTGGCCACCACAGTTGGTCTTTATCTTATCCCTTTCTGCAAGACTGCAGTATTGCTGGTTGTCATGATGTCTGTCTTTGGCATTTCATTTGGCGCTATGGATACAGGTTAGTGAATCCTTCATTGTCTTTTCCAGGATTGGGACACTACTGCTAGGTAAAGTAGAGCAAATGAAATAATGTCACTTGCAATGCTCTGAAATGGCATGACTTATTGAGTTGGTCATGAGGTCACTCAGTCAGAAGCACCCTTCTAGCAGCTACTCTTGCCAATTGGAGCTCTGATTTTTGAACAGCCAACTATGAGGTGATCTTAGAGGATTTTATTCTATGTTTGATTTACAAGTATGAAGATAGGGAGGATGCCCTAATTTAGGTGAGGGGGCTTTCATTTTAAGATAGAATTTTAACATTTTGAGTAAGGAGAATTGATGAATTCATTGGATAAAATAAATATGGAACCACAATCTGGCTGCAAAAACACAGAAGCAACCACTCAACTTAAAAGGCACCCAGAGTCTGAGCTTAGAGAAGCCTGTGCTGTGTACTGCTTTGTTTTTTATCTGTTCTTTTCTCTCAGAAGTTCCTGCACTCTGTGTCATCTTGCCTTTGAAAACCTACTAAATAATATATGTGATATTTATTCATACCCTTTCCAGCTTCCTATCTCTCTTGGCTTTGATCTAATGTTAGTTGGTATATCATGGACATATATTATACTTCTGACTTTGTTTGGTTGTAAAATTACAAAGGTGGAATTATGTGCTTATCTGATAATATCTCATTCAAAAAAGAGCTAAAAACACCTTGTAGGTGCTAAAACAGAGGAAGGGCAGCTGCTAACTTTTAGTTCTTCTTTCCTGTCTAAAGGAATTTTTAGACCAAACTTAATTTATCACAAATCACAATATATTGTCCAGGATCCTGAAGTATTCAGGTTCTCAATGGGTGTTTTGCATCTGTTTTATATATATATATAAATATTATATATATATATATCTGTTTTTATATATATATATATAAATATATATATAAATATTATATATACATATATATTATGTCTCAAATGGGTACGAGTTTTAAGAATAGAAAGCTTCAGTCATTTGATAACTAACAACAAAATTTGCATAGTATATTAGTATATTTAAAATATTTACAAATAAACACCCATATAAATGTTACTCCCAGTGTTTTTTTAAAATGCCCTTGCTAATGGGGCCTGAAGATACAGTTGTTGACCAGCTTGTAGAATTCCATATATGAGTGTGAGACAATATAACACTTTGTTCTCGGTGGTAGTAGGTCAGAGTTCTTTCATCACAGAATTGACTTGGGACAATGTGTGAATAACTTAGAAGACAACAGTGCTTATGCTTATAGACTCATCTTTCTGATGGTAATGAAGTGTTTTATTACAAAGTTATTGTGTATAACTTATACCATTTTCCATATCTTCCATTGGCAGGCGGGAATGTTCTCATCTTGGCAATTTGGGGAGACAAAGGAGCCCCACACATGCAGGCCTTACACTTCAGTTTTGCCTTGGGTGCCTTTCTGGCTCCCCTTCTGGCTAAATTGGCCTTGGGTACAACCACCATGTCTGCTGAGAACCACACAGAGAATGGCTTTCTCCCTCTAGCCTTGAACCAATCATCTGAAGCTGACTCAGGCTCTCTATTTGGAGTAGAGAATGGCTTTCTCCCTCTAGCCTTGAACCAATCATCTGAAGCTGACTCAGGCTCTCTATACAAGGCCCTTCTATGTCTCCTTTTCCTGTTTCTTCTTTTTTTATGTTGGAGCTGAGGTAACCTATGGCTCTTACATTTTCTCATTTGCAACCACTCATGTTGGCATGGATGAAAAGGAAGCAGCTGGCTTGAACTCCATCTTCTGGGGGACCTTTGCAGCCTGCAGGGGCCTGGCAATCTTCTTTGCTACATGTTTAACAACCTGGAAATCCAGGTGGTGAGCAATGTTGGCAGTCTGACCTCATCTTTATTTCTCGTGCTGTTTGATAAGAACTCACTGTGTCTCTGGATAGCATCTTCAGTGTATGGGGCCTCAATGGCCACCACATTTCCCAGTGGTGTTTCTTGGATTGAACAGTACACAACCATAAATGGGAAATCTGCAGCTTTTTTTGTAACTGGTGGTACTCTGGGAGAAATGGCTATTCCTGCAGTAATTGGAATTCTTCAAGGAAAATACCCAGATTTACCAGTAGTTCTGTACACCTGTTTGGGGTCAGCAGTATTCACTGCTGTTTTATTTCCTGTGATGTATAAATTAGCTACTTTGCCTCTGGATCATCAGCGAAAGAGAAACAGAAAGAGCCAGAAAGCTCAGACTTCAAGATTTGGTCTATGGTAAACAGAACAAAAGAGAAGATACAGAAAAGTGGAATGAAATGGATTTCGAAATGGTTGAGATGAATGACACAAGGAAGAATTTCAGACATCTGAAAATATTTTGATGGTGCCCACAGCTGATGTTGCCAACCAATTCCTCTCCGGTGCATTGGTATGTGAGTCCTTCTCAGTTAATACTGGTGATTTCCCTGTGAAGCCCCTTGCCAGAATTGAGGACAAAAGGGACTAACACCTAAAGAAGATGCTCTATTAGTGACTTCATTGAATAATCACCACTTCTAAAGAAGCCAAAGCAGAGCATTAGCACGTTTTAGCATACGTTGGGGGTCAGAATTCCTAGAGCCATTTATACATATGCCAAGAAATTTTTAAATGTTTTATATTTGCCAGTGGTCTTCTACAATAGGATCTTGTTATCAGCCTTGTGTTTGGGCAGTGGCTGTTTTGGTAATTTTTATGGTCTTTACCATTCAGAGCATTCTTTTTTTTTTTAATTTTTTTTCTTTTATTCATATGTGGATACAATGTTTGGATCATTTCTGCCCCCTGCCCCCGACCCCCTTCCTTCTCCCCCCCCCCCGCTCCTCCCCTCTCCCCGCTTACTCCCTCGCTACCAGGCAGAAACTATTTTGCTCTTATCTCTAATTTTGTTGAAGAGAGAGTATAAGCAATAATAGGAAGGACCAAGGGTTTTTGCTAGTTGAGATAAGGATAGCTATACAGGGAGTTGACTCGCATTGCTTTCTTGTACATGTGTGTTACCTTATAAATTAATTCTTCTTGAACTAACCTTTTCTCTAGTTCCTGGTTCCGTCTCCTATTGGCCTCTGTCACTTTAAAGTATCTGCTTTAGTTTCTCTGCGTTGAGGGCAACAAATGCTATCTAGTTTTTTGGGTGTCTTACCTATCCTCATACCTCCCTAGTGTGCAGAGCATTCTTAAGAAGGCATTTGTGTTTGAGAAATTTGGTAGTGTTGTAATAGAGAAAAACCACAAAGGAGTAGGATGGATTTGCCAAGCAAATGATCAGGTGTCCATATTCTGCCAGAGAAGTTGGGAAGAGCAGTTTCATGAAAGAGCATCTTTGGGAAACTTTGGGAAGGAACAGATGTTTTTATTATTTGCTTCACCTTACCAATAGGGTTGGACCAAAGAATACTGACTCTTGTTGGTTTTTCTTTCCTTTTTTTTTTTAATTTCTATATAGAGAATACAGCAGGGTTCAAGAAACCCGCCTTCAAAATGTGATTCTTCCTTCTGGCTCTACTTTGAGGAACTTGCCATAAGCCTCATTTTTTTTTTCATTTCCTGATCTGTGATCCTAGAAATGAAAATGAGATGATTTACAAACTGAGAAATCCATAAGTTTTTAACATTTTTGCAAGATGTCTGCTAGAACAGTCCCTTCCTCATTTTAAATGAGAAGTGAAACAAAAACGATAAATACTTTAAGGACATGGGTGTGTGGCCATACCACCCTGAATGCGCCCAATCTCGTTTGATCTCAGAAGCTAAGCAGGGTCAGACCTGGTTAGTACTTGGATGGGAGACTTTAAGGATATGGTATTGATGCAAAATTAGTATGCTTAATGTTTAATACATTCTTTCAAGTTTTCTGAGGATTACATTATTAGTGCTGCACTTCAGTCATCCAAAGATATACCTTTCCCACATAATTTTAACATAACTGAAATGGGATATATCTTATAATCAATGATCATTTGCCATCATGACAAATTATGCACATTAAATCCATATGCATGTTTAAAAGAATGTGCTTTATACTACTGTTTTAGACCAGTGAGCAATAGCAATTCTTTCAATTGTGGAGATTATACTATTTTCACTGATAATTTTAATATAAAATTTGTTTATTTACATATTTATTTTGAGACAGGGTTTCACTTTGTTATCTTTGCTGATCTCAAATTTCTGGGCTCAAGCAACCCTCCTACCTCAGCTTCCTGAGTCCCTGGGACTAGAGTCATTCACCACAACCTCAGACTGAGAACATTTTTATATGTGTATTTCCTTTCTCAGTATGTTCAGATGGGACTTAAAGACACTTAATTCCAATTTTAAGAAGCTGTTACAGAGCTCCTGCATCAATAGTAGGGCTATAGATAACCTCTTGAGGCCCTTGGCCTTCCTCAGTAACAGATAACAAGTGTGGGCCTTACTGTTTCGAGATTTGATCCTTGCTGGCTTTGGTTTTCTTTGTTTCGTCAGTAAGTACTAAAAACAAGAGTGTTTTCCAGGGGTTGGAATGTTTATGTTACCCATGACCCTGGCTTCTTTTCCCTGAGTTTGGCATATCAGGGCACCTAAGGAAAGATGAGAGGTTGAATTAGTGGCCTAGGAGTCAGGGATGAAAATGATTGCTTCATAAGAGTATCCCAAACTTGTGTGGCCATCCTTTGACAAATGTCTAGAACTGATGACAGATTTTGCTTACTTCTTTGTAAGTTTGATGTTGAATGATGTTTAATGTCTACCAGATTGAACATGTTTGGTTTCTTTTGTGTACTGCCTATAAATTTGCATTTATAAAAAAATTGCTTTGGTTTGTTTTAAGTGAAACACAGTACCTTTCTTTACTGACTGTCCACCTGATATGCTCACCACACATTAGTTCATGTTAACAACGTGACTTTCGAAAGAGCTGTCGCTCTTTTGAGTTTGTGTTTTCCCTTAACAGGAACTTGCAAGTTACCTCTGTTCCATTTACTGCCTTTCCTTGGGCTGTTGGGCCCTAAACAGTGGCAGTTACTTGGCTACTGTGAAGCTTGTTAAACAAGGATTCTACCTTCAGCACCTATTTTTGGAGGGTAGGAGTTGGAGCCCAGGGGGAGAAGCATGGTAATAAGAACATGGCATACACTGAGAAATCCACACAGGAAGATTCTCTCCAATTGTGCAAACCAAAATGTGTATGGCCATTGTGTTATGTTTGTAACAAGCTTCTTGCATGGTGTGGTGTTGCTGGCCCATGGACCACACTTTGGGCAGGAAGGTCCACTTTTGGGGTGTATACAATATTTTTGTTGTTCATGGGAGTACTGTTTGTTGTGTTTCAACATTTTAAAATCTAACCATATTATACCCTTAGGCTTCTGTAGTCCCTATGTACCCTCTTTACACATGCCACATATAAAACACCCTATACAAACATGCTCCACGGCTATACAATTATTATCTGGTACAGGCATGGTGGCTTATACCTGTAACCACAGCCCTTGGGAAACTAAGGCAAGAGGATTACAAATTTAAGGTCAGTCTGGGCTACATCATGGGACCCTGTCTCAAAAAAGAAAAATGTTGCCTTTAGTCTTCTCCATGTATTCCATTGACTGTTGGCCATTTACTCCACATTTGTGAGGTCCTCCTATTTGGAAGTCTCTCTGCGGGAGGCACCAAGTGGACACTGTTGATAAATCAGAAGGTTCCTGCCCTCAAGAAGCTTCAACTCCTGCCCAATACAAATTTCTGGGATGATGGATATATTCTATATCTGCACTGCTGAGTAGTATTACTGGTCACATTTGGGATGAGTTTCTCTCTCAAAATATGGCTAGTATGACCAAAAAAATTCATTTTTAATTTAAGTACAAAAACCTTCCTTGTCTAGTGGCTGCTATATTGGGGGCTTATAAACATGGCTTCAAACTACTAATCATAGAAAGTGTTTCCAGGATGGGCTTATTTCCTGCAATTGTAGAAATTAGCAGGTATTCTAGGGCAGAAAGGTTGTGTAATACCTGTTACACAGCAAAATAGACGTTGTCATGGCCTTGAGAAAGACATAGTCTTAAGAGATAATGCCATTAGACAGTGATGCTTAATGCTATAAAAATTGGTTTTGTTATAAGCCAGCTGGATGTTGTCCCTAACCAGACAGAAATCACAAATGGGTAGGTGAGGAGAAGCTGCTCCTATTATTCCAGGCCCTTGGTGGACATTTGCAGGTGGTGGCAGTAGATGGCAGTGGGCAGCAGGACTCAGCGCTGAACCTTTGAGATCTAGAGCAGCAGCACAGGATTTGGACCTTGGGCTTCTGCCTGAAGCCCTTAACAGCAAGAGTGGTGGCATGGGGTTTAGGCTCAAGGCCCCCAAGAGCTAGTGTGGTGGCACAGCGTTCAGGCCTCAGGTTTTTGAGCCCCAAACCCTAAGTGTTTCAGCTTTTTTGTGGATAGGAGACCACTCAAGAGAAAGTCTTTATTGAGACCAAATGTTGCCACTCTGGGGGTGGGGTGGCAGCACAGGAGAGTGTCTCTGAGCTGCCCATAGTGAGTTGAGCTGACTGCTTATGTAGCCAGAGGGGGGTGTGTGTGTGTGTGCCAAAGGTATCGGTACACTCATGACGTGCAGGCCCCTCATACAAAGGAAGGGTTGTGTTTGCATCAGTCACCGTGGTAGTCCCTTATAGAAATGAAGGACTGTGTCTATACCAATCATAGGTCTTCTAATGTGTCATCAGGGAAGTGCTCCCACTCTTGTCTAGGTAGAAATCTATACAGGGCCATCTAGAGTTTCCCAAGATTTGTAATGGCAGCTGTTTGCTGGGTCAGTGCTTTCCGGAGCCAGAGTTGTGCTTTGGTGTGTGGCCTCCTTATTGTGTTTGTGGCGTGTTCAAAGCAGCTGGTGAGATGAGGCAGTCCAGCTGGATGCTTAGCTCTTAGTCCTTCACTTGCAACAGCAGCAGGGCCTCAGAGAAGGGTCTTAGAGCTGTCAATTAGGGAGTCAAATTGCCCCAGCTTCCAACATCTCAGCACTTAGCAGAAACACAAACATTAAAAGGGATGCTTATAATAAAGGCTTATAATTCACATTAGCAGTGCTTAAATAGTATTTTGTGGTGCTCTAACAATGCTAACTCCTGTACCAGGGACCCAGGGAGAGGGGGTACCTATCATCTCTTTCAGTTTGGGCCTCCCTTGTGTATAGCAGAAGCAAACTGAGGTCGGTCACCTTGGTTATGAGGAGGATTTAAACTCCTTTCTCAATATGCTTTCACCAGTTGGCTTTTTTTTTTTTTTTTGAGTCATGGTCTTGCCATGTTGTCAAGGTTGGCATTCATCCCCTGGGCTCTAGTGATCCTCCCACCTCAGCCTCCTGAGTAGCTGGGACTTTGTGTGGCCCAAAGCACCTGGC